TATTATATTATATTATATTATAATATATTATATTATATTACATTATATTATATTATTTTATATTATATAATATTATATCATTTTAAAGTGATTTGTATCTTATTACATTCCTCGTTGTGACGGTCTGATTTTGCACACAGGCTGGGTTCATCAACAACGACATCGACATGTACGACGAAGAGAACGACGTGTGGGCGATGGCGCGTACAAGTAACCTCAACGAGGAGCTAGGCATGGTCAAGTATGTGCTGAGTGACAAGACGGGCACGCTTACCTGCAACATCATGGAGTTCAAGAGCTGCTCTGTAGCTGGCAATGTCTACGCTGTCGACGATGGCAGGTCCGCAGGCACTGTCTTGACCTCTGTTTCTAAATAAGAATTCATATTTATATTCATAATAATACGGTGGATACTCCATAATTGAAAAAAATATAACTCAGTACTCACTGTAGTGAGTGACAGAGAGCGCATTTTCTCGTCGACGAAAACCTGAAGTCACGGACAGACAGACGGACATGGCGAGCACAATAGTGCATTGTTTCCATAAATGAAGAAAATGCGCTAAAAAGCCCACCAACGGTTGCCCGCGCGCACAGGAGGACATTGGAGAACGTTTCGATATCTGGAGAGCGTGTAACGTCTTAACGTCAACTAACTCTCACTTTGTTCTAACACTAAGAACAGAGCGAATTCTCTGTTCCTAGTGTTTTGGTCGTTAGGCGGGAACCCAATGTGCTGAAAAATATGCTTTGTCCAAAGTAAACAATATCGGCTATTTGTCTCTGCAATGTCGCCCCATATTTCAGAAGATCTGTGGTAGCTCCTTGTTTTCTCCCCAGTCGGAGATTCCCAAGTTTTCTTTCCGGATTCCAACACCGCACCATTGCCGGCATTGTCTCAGATTTTATTGATGTATTGCTTCTTCCTCATATCCTTCAATTTTGTTACGGTAGTACGCGAACCTGTTTTTCTTCATTAGCCTTACAATGCATTAGTTATTGTGTTTAAACATGTGTTTGAGGAGGCTATTGATAGTTTTTCAAAATATCAGTAATTGATCTCCTTGAATCTTGCTTAAAATTAGGAAACTTTAAAATATCACCCCTACTTATAATAACATTTCCATGTCGTTTTGCTGCTATATGCTGCACTGGTCGTATGTTCCAAGTTCAAAATTATCCTGCAACTCACGTGAGGTTGTGCAGTATGTTGAATTAAATACTGTTTAATTGCTGCAGGAGGTTGTGTAAATAATAACAACCCTGCAAATAATAAATAATAATAACAACCCTGTGTAAATAATAACAACCCTGCAACCCTACAGGATTGCAGGGTTGTGTAAATACTATTTAACACGGTGACTACGATTGCTTAATCTTGTACTCTTTTTAAACAGGGTTGCCAGACGGTCATTTTTTCCGGACAAATTCCGTGATTTAATTTTTCTCAATTGCGTTGGCTGGCTGAAATTTATGATAGGGGTACTTCCTAATTAAATTATCGGCCTTTTTTGGCTTTTTTGTTCTCAGATTTGGCCGATTTTAGGCTACCTGAATTATGTACCACTACGTCCTGGAGAAATACATTTCGTGGTACGCATATGTACCACTTCGGAGTCAACGTGTTAATTGCTTCGTTCTGTTGTGCAGTATCATGGAGCTTACAGCGCTGTCTGATGGCAGCAGCGCACAGTCCGCTACTGTCCGCCAGTACCTGACCATGATGGCCATCTGCCATACCGTCATCCCGGACCATGACGAGGCCAGCGGAGGCATCATCTACCATGCCGCCTCTCCCGGTATGTATCATTCATCATAAAACATGGTCCAGTCATTATCAAATATGGCGTCACTGAAACCATGGATATTTCCGTCTAATTTCCAAGTCAATCTTTCTTAAATTTTACCATCGCTTTAAATTTTATGTAAGAAACCAAACTTGTATTAAGTCCCTACACGTGTTCAATTTTAAATGAATCTTGCTTTCATTAAAGTGTCATCGACGTATTTCATTCTAGATTTCTGTATATATTTCAAGGTTATAAGTGTCATCGACGTATTTCATTCTGGATTTTTGTGTATATTTCGAGGTTGTAAGTGTCATCGACGTATTTCATTCCAGATTTTTGTATATATTTCGAGGTTGTATAAATATTTTATACAGATGAGCGAGCGCTCGTGAAAGGTGCCAAGGACCTGGGCTTCGTGTTCACCACGCGCACCCCCGACTACGTGATACTCGACGCGCTCGGCAAGAAGGAACAGTTCCACGTGCTGCACGTGCTNTCTGTCACTCACGGCAGTGAGTACTGAGTTATATTATTTTTTTTTCAGCAAATACCGGGTGTGTCGCCGACTGGCCGCTATACGACCCTGGTTCCTCTGATCTGCATACTCGTCGTGTCAGCCATCAAGGAGATTGCCGAAGACATTGTGAGTATAGCGCTGCCTCATTATGAACCTCTCACTCTCCCCATAGACATTGGCACAAAGTCTATGTTGTTTAATATATAGTATATGCAAGTATTTGTCAGGAAGAACGATATTACTATTGTGTTATGTTTTATCATCCATGTATTGACGTAACTTGTGGAGGTCAGTTTCGTCAGTTTTTGTGCCTGAACTACAATTCATGTTCAAATTCTGAGCATGTAATTTTATGACATTTAGGATACCAATTCAAGGAACCGTAGACTATAACCAGTTCGTCGAAAGGTGAATTCCAAAGTATGACTTGATTTACAGAAATATTTTTTTTTAACGTTGAAACTTTTCAGGCTTTCTTAAAATATGTTAAGATAAAGATTAATTTGTGACGTGAGATGTTTCTGCACTTTCTTTACTCTTGTGATCAAATGATTGTTATTTCGGTCAAGATTTGGCCCTAAATGTAATTTGTTGTCAAGTTCATGCCTAATGTTCACATTGTAATGTGCGATATTAAAAAATCTTCTTTGAGTTGCTGGATTTTTTTTTTTTGCCAATCATTGACGGCCTTTCAAGCAAAACCCACCAATCATAGACAAGAAAATAGAGCGTAAGTACTTACGTTAACTTAGCTAGTTTTGAAAGTATGGAACCTGACTTTATGTAGGCATTTTTTGTTCACTCTTCAGAGAAAAAAATATGACAGAACGCTGACTGGTCTTGACTTCTAGTTGACATGTTCCCTGTCACCAGACATGTTCCCTATCACCAGACATGTTCCCTGTCACCAGACATGTTCCCTGTGACCAGACATGTTCCCTGTCACCAGACATGTTCCCTGTCACCAGACATGTTCCCTGTCACCAGACATGTTCCCTGTCACCAGACATGTTCCCTGTCACCAGAC